GCCAATCGAAATGTCTTATCATCGAAGATTTCTTGGCCTTCCTAGAGCCAACTTCTTGTTTTAGTGCTGGTCGGGCCGGAGCTACCACTCCACTTTTCTAGCCCTAAGATCCATGAACCATATGAGTAGCAAATTGACCGGGGTGTCCGCCGTGCGAAACCAAGACCTTCGGCAGCTCAAATCTGGGCCCCCTGAAGCCTCCGAAATGACGGAAAGGGGCAGCACGGTTCAACATTCTGCCTTTGTCGCATCACAGGCTCGGAGCCGAGGTATGCGGCGCCCGTGTACCACAGGTGATAGGAGCCGGAAGTTCGGCAACGAGAAAGTGATGTGTCAGGATAGGCTAGGGCTTTTTCAACGAACGAGCCACCTACAACTGTTGCACGTGACAGGTGGATGTGAATACTCGATGCTGGAAATGCTGCAAAGTGGTGAAGACGCAATTGACCAACCCCCTTGCCTGTCATGTTCGTGGCAAGGAAATTCCAGGGCTTAGCTCGCCAGGACTTGCTACCCAGAGCTTGCAGAGCTGGTTGCTGAAGAACAGCCTGTCGGTGGTGCCTGGATGGAAACATGATGTTGGAGGATGTGAAACGGAATTTCAGTATTTGACTCATTTACAAGATTCCTGCGAACTTGACATAACATTATATTGCGAGGCAGAATGAATATGCCTATGTCTATGTGTATGTGTATGTACACGTACATGTGCATATATTCATACAGCAAACATGAATGCACTATGAATGGTTGCTTTCATGAACTCGTTCTGGCCCGCATCGCGGCCGCAACCAGTCACGTGTTTGCAGACACGGTTGCAAGGGCTTGAACGCAGGGGTTAAAAACTCTTGTATCCTTGGGAAGGCGGTTCCTTGCAATACTTGTGTTTTTTCCTGACATGGGTCAGAAACGCAGGGAGCAAGAGGACAGCACTTTGGGCCGCCGCTGCGTGGAATGTAATGCCAAGCATGAGAAGGAGACAACCTACACCGTCCCAGAAGCAGCTGTAGAGTTTACCAGATTATGTCACGCGTCAGACATATTTCGCAGACCTTAGCTTTCTACCGCGGAATGGTCGGGTGGTGTCATGTCATTGGTTTGCGTTTTCACGCTTCTTTCCGGATGTAAGTTGGGTTGCTTCCAGGGCAAAGTTATTTGAATTCCACATTTGTGCAGGCTTGGCAGAGGGGGTCGGAGCCGACACAGTGGCAATCAGGTTGCGCGTGTCTACTTTTGTCTCTTGTTTGTTTCTTTTCCAATTGCACACGGAGCCAATGGTTGGCTGTTATACGCAAGGATGCCTACGAGCACATGTGCAGATGCTTCTGCCAGAATCTTCCCCACCATTGGCTGCTCACAGAGACTTTGCTGCTTGCCTGAGGCTGGCGCGGTTGCACATAGTACATGTGTGGTTTTTGTGGCTCGTATCACAATACTTCTGCCGGTTTTGCAGGTCCTTCTGGCCGTTGCAGCTTCAAGCCACTCATTTTCACATCGATCACGGACAACCTCCAATTCGCTCCACTTTGTCACAATTGCTGGGCTTTGAATCCCGTTTGCGCAGCGCAGTTTTGTTGCCTGCCCTATTCACAGAAGGAAGCGTCACATTCGGGCAGTCAAAGCAAATGTTGCTCGTTGACATGGCAGGGTTGTCCTAATTGGAAAGTGAGTGGGGTACCAAAAGTGACTCCGGACCCCTCTTTGAGATATGCCAAAGCGCAAAAGGACCACCCTGGCAGCTGCTAGTCTATGTCTTTTTAAGAAGGGGGGACCCTCAAATTCCAATCATCAAAAGCCAGGGGGCGATTCCATCCAATTTTCGACCATGTCCTCTTGGAGAAGGAGTCGAATATTCTCACTGGCTCATGCCACCAAGAAAGTCGCCGAATTGAAACTTTAAGAGCCGGCAGCAAGGAACACATTCAGCAAATGACTCATGTGATTGCTCGTTCGAGGCGCTTTCTGTGCTGTTTTGCAACCAGAGGGTGAGGCGTGGGTCTTCCGGCCTATTTTTTGAACAAAGACAAAAGAGGCAGTCGCAATGCCCCAAAGCAACATATTATCAAGAGCGTGTTCATTTCGAGCGCTGGTTTTGCGACGCCGAAGATTCCGTTCAGGCTGCAACTCGGCAAGCTTTGCCACGGGCAGTTTGGGTCATGTGCTCAGAGAGCTCGGCTTGAGCGTCGCGCTCCTCACGGTTCCTCCAGGACCACACACGCACACACGCACGTGTCCCTCAAGTAATGACTTTCTGCGGGGGAACTAGACCTACTAAGGCCTTGCTAAAGGGGAAAATGCGGGGGGGGGGGGGGTCATGGAAACAACAAGTGGGCTTAGTTTTTTGTTTTTTGCTATTGAGGACAGTTTGAAATTGGCAAGCGACAGCCGGAAACGGACTCTTGATATATATATATATAGATCATACCTGGTGAGCCGCTCACTCTTAAAGAAACACATGGGGCAAGGGTTTGGAGCAACTTTCACACAGGGCGCTATCAATCTTGCTGCCTAGGGGTAGAGGCTTGATGGTGCAGTATTCAGTGCAGATATGCCTCCTGGCAGAATTGTTGAAGCAAAACTCTACGCAGAAATGGCCCACTTAACGGAAGCAGCTGTTACATGAAGTCAGAAGTTTCGACCTTTGCAGTTCCGAGCCGCTGGAAACGTCACGCCCAATCGCACCATGTCAAGGACAGCCCGAACGCCACCAGCCTGCGCTGTATCAGGCTTTCATTTGCCCTTCACAGTTCGGGATGTCTGTGCTCAAGAATGCTCAGACCCAACTACAGCATCCTACTTGTAGCCTGCTAGCTCTGTGTGCCACAATGCATAAGCGTGGGGCGCGGAGGTTGTTTTGTGGCAGGGGCTCGAATTATGAACACAAGCAGGGACCCGGGGGATCCTACCTTCAAGTACCAAAAATCCGAAATTTGGGTGCACTTCAGCTTTGCAGCCTCCTTCCTGACCCAATCTCAAAGCTCTTGTGGGTTAACAACAGGCCGGGTTGGACGCTGCGTGCATGGCGCTAAGGTCTGACTCGACGAATGCTGGAAGTTCCACGAAAGCTTTGTCTGTAGCCTTGCTGACGCAACTCTTCGTGGAGTGGGCCTCTGATCGGGTCAGGGAGCGTGAATACACTACGAAGCTGAAGAAGTATGAGGACACTGAGTTGGAGATGAATTGTTAGGATACCAGAAGAAAGTTTGCAAAATAGGCGAGTCCTAAAAGTGGGTTCTTGCCTTTGTTTCCACTATGAGAGACCCCATATGTACAGTCATATTCGCGAAGCTTTGAACACTTTTTCTTCGCAACCTTGCGTGAACTTGCAGCCGCATCATGGGAACTGCATGCCTTATGCCTGGCAACATGAGGTTGGACACACGCTGACAGAATGTGCTTGCCCATATCATTCCATGTGCTCGCACACTTTGGTACAAGCACGTGGCAAAGCCACGCCGTCAGGAAAAGTCGGGCAAGGCCACGAGCGGCAAGGGCGCGAGCTCCGACGTGTTCCGGCCCAGCGTCCTCACCGGTGTCAGCGTGGCTGTGGCCTTGCAGGTTGAGGACACTTGCACAGAGCTTGAAGAAGGACGTGCTTTCACATTGGAGGCCAATCTCACTCCCTCGTACAGGCTACCAATTTTACGGCCCAAGTCTCTGACGCTTGGCTCCAAGAAAACTGCCAAGACTTTCAGGTCAATTTTTAAGGGTTTAGGTTTGGCCAGTGGCCTGCTTCAGCTTCTTTTGAACCCGCACAGATTGCGAGAATGAACCCAAGGGATTTGTACAAGAGCTTGCTGCGGGAGCAGCAGGCAGGCGATCGCCGGGCGATCGCCATGGGCACAATCTCTGCCACGCGTCCGCTGACTGCAAAGGTGGCGCCAGCGCAGATGAGCAAGGTTTGGGCCGCTTTGGCGTTGAAGGTGAACTCAAGGCTGTTTTGTAGTCTTCTCCATTGATATGAAACGACCAAACAAGGTACAATCAAACCATTTTTGGCCAGTCGACTCAGCTGGCAAAACGTGAGTCAGTTATGCAACTTTTTGCTGCAAGGCGCCGTTCTAAGTGATCACTTCGTGTGCTCAAGGTTCTGTTGTTTGATAGAAAGGGGCTACCACTGAGGCTCGTCAATAATCGTGGTCGATGCCCATATGCCCATGCTGAGGACCTTTTGTCTGCTTTGCCAGACGGGGAGCTGCAATGGATCATGCGGTGCGTCCCATCTTTTGCAACTTTGGAGCTTTGCAGAAAGGCAATTGCCTGCGGCGAAGATGCAGATGCTAACCCCATTCTCATTGCGCTGCACACGTCTTTTGCTACGCGGACACTTCAAGATGCGCTGTCACGGGAACCTCTCCTACCGCATCAAGCTTTTCACGCAAGCAAGGGCGGCCAGAATGTCAAAAGCACAGGCAAAGGGGTCCAGCCCAACCTCGAGTTGAACGAGATGCAGCGCCAAGCCTTTCATGCAGCATTGCAGCGCCGTGTGTGCTTGGTCCAGGGACCGCCAGGCACTGGGAAGACCAAGCTTATCGCTGCCCTGGCGGGCGCCCTTAGCAAAGAGCGACACTCGGGGCCGGTGGTTTTGTTGGCGGAGACGAACTATGCAGTGGACAACTTGGCGCAAGCTGTGAAGGCACACACCAGCGCAAAGATGGTGCGGCTTGGCCCCACATCCAGTCCAGCGAAAGAATTTCAGTTGGACTGCCAGGACGGGTGGGGGTACATGAAACCATGAAACAAGCTAGCCATCAAACAGGCGTCTGTGGTTTTTTATTGGATGCTGTCAACAAGTTTGACATGTCTGAGTTGATTGGCGAATTGGGCCCCCCCGATTACGTCGGCTCAGGGATCTCGTTGACCGGAATTCTCCACCTTGGAGGCCGAGCGCGAGAGCAAGAGGGCGGGCTGCGGCTTTTTCGAGAAGCGCAAGGAGTTGCTGACATCGGCTGAGGTCATTTGCTCCACTGGCGTTCGAGCTGCGTCGTTTCCAAAAGAGCTCGGGGAAGATCATCCTGCCACGATTTTGGATGAAGCTAGCCAAGTCACAACACCGGTGTTGCTGTCTGCCCTGGTCCGTCGCTGCCTGCGCCTGGTGCTTGTGGGGGATGACCAGCAGTTGGGTCCTGTATGTGGACTGCAGCAAGAGAGCTGCAAGAAGCTGCAGCTAATGCTCCCTGAAGGACAGATGGGCAGCGAGAACAAGCCTTGAAGTCAGAAGAGCGCAGTCAGCGCGCCCCGAGCTTTTTAGCTGTTTAGGGTTTAGTGGTTTGGTTTCCATTTGACCCACTAAAATGTATTCACTGTGCTTCTAAATTGATGGGGCTGGCTGTGTGCCAGTCACAGTCGAACTCCATTATACCCTTTTTTGGCGCACGGCCTCCACCAGAATGCCATGACACATTTGATAATATGCCATAGCAAAGGCCCGTGGTCTGACATACTAGAAGCGACTGTTGTTTACGCCTTGTGCTGCAGCCACAAACGTCCGTGTGAATAGGGACAATCCTCTGGGCAGTGTTTAGACCCCCTTTAAGAACGGCACAACATGTCACTGACGTCTCAAAACGGGGCCCTAGTTTGACAAACCTCCCCCTAGATCTCTGCCGGCTGAGCTTGCGACCAGAGTTTCGCTTTTTCCCTTACCCATTTCTCGCTGGTCGTGGCAGGTTTGGTCGGAACCAGTCGTGTGATGGGTCCGTTGAAAGGCGCCACCGGAAAGAACAGGGTGTGGTTTCAAGAACTGCAACTTGCGGCCCAACATGGCTCTGAGCCAAAGGTACTGAACCGCGCACTTGGCCTTTTGGATGGTTTCAGGACTCGGTCCGGAAGATTCAGCTTTCGCCTGGCTGCTGAAGCAGGGCCTAAAGGCCGTGCAGCTGAATGAGCCTTGGCATCACCTTAATGGCTCCGGCAATGGCATGTTGGTGTTGGTATGATAGGCAGAAGGGGACAGCTGCAATCGGGTTTGTTGTAGTACACCCTGGGATTACATTGACTGGGAAATAATTCATTTGGGTTCATTCCAACCCATTTCAGTTCATTCCCAAAATCGACCTGGTTATGTTGGACCTGATTGGATATTTGCCGAGGGTGCAAGCACAGGGTGTAGTACAAAACCCTTAGATATAAACATACCGTACCAGCAAGCATAAATAGAGGCGAATCCCGCCCTTCTAATTCTTTGTCACCGGGTTTGCCATGGGGGTGCGAATGCCTGGGCTTGATTCAAAGCAGGTGTTCTCAAGGCTGTTCTTTTGGTTTCCCTTTGTTACCCTCCAAACATGGGCCAAAACCTTTTTGAGGGAGCCGCTCGTCGACCAATACTTTCAGGAAGGTTGTGTTTCCACATTTTCTTGGCCGGCGGCAAGAATGCCAACCATGTGTGTTCAAAAGAGAGGGGAACAAGCATCATACGGATCGGGTATGCGTGGAAAAGGCGCCTCCCCCTCACAAAACAAACAAAGAGGAGTTGTGAAGCGTGCGATTGAACAGGACAAGCTTCCAATGACAGATGAAATGGGCCTGCGCAGTACGTCTAAATAGCTCAGGCGCAAACTGCGCTGCACCTGCATTAGTTCTGGCTGTGGCATCCCAAGTGTCTTGCGCAAGGCGTCCCTTTAAAACTTTGAAGCTGTTGATGCATCGTGGCCCGTCAAAAGGCAAAGGGCAAAGCCGGATGTCTATTGCTTTGCCATCCAATTCGGCCTCAGCATCGAACCTGCTCGAGCGATTCTGTGGATGCGGATGGCCGATCGTAAGGAGCAGTATCGTATGCACCCGAAGCTTGCAGAGTTCCCATCGCAGCATTTCTACCAGGCCCAGCATACTCTGAGAGATGTGGTGGACAGTGACTCTTTGATACCAAAGTGGGCCATCCCTATGCCTACTCGCTGAGTGAGTTTGTATTATGCTACGCTAGCCGCCGAAGCTCTGTGCACATCTGACTGGCACATTTCTCAGACTTTCCAAACCATGTGTCGTTGGTCACAGAACCTCACATTACGAGCCCAACACATTTCTCTTGAACACAGAACCTTACTATGCCAATCGTTTTGCCCGACGCATCTCAAGGATATTCCAAGGTGTTTTTTGTAACATAATACCTGCACGTGTTTGCAACCCTGTGTCATGTTTTTCCAATCTAAGAGCACACCTATTATAGTAGACATCCAGGTCCAAGTGACCTCCAGCACATTTGATATTAAGACTGGGGATGCTGGGCATGCAGACCTGCGGCCAAACACATTGTTCTTTACACAAATTAACGAGGTTCAGGTAAGTTCGATTATCCTCTATAAAATTGCTTTACTAAACAGCAACACACCGGCAAGAGACCCCAAACAGTGTTGATGCCTCAAGAAGACCTCTTGAAAGGAGCAGGTCCTGCGTGGATCTTCTTGGCAGGATGTCTCGAAGGACCAGTGCAAGGTGTCTTTGTTTTTTTACAGGATCTCTGCGCAAGATCTCTTGAAGGATCTCTTGGCAAGATTTGTGTGCACGATCTCTAGACAGGATCTCTTGGTCAATCTCTTGGCGAGATTTATGCACGGAATCCTTGACAGGGTTTGTCAAGAGACCTCTTCTTCTACTACTACTACTCTTACGACTTCTACCACTGTTACTGCTGCTGTTACCGCTACAGCTGCTGCTGCTGCTGCTGCTGCTGCTTGCCACTACAACACTACTACACTACTACTACTATTTACACGCTGACGCGACACAGCCGGCCACCGGGCACCCTGCCCTGCCTGTTCTGTCACTTCCCTGTCCTTTGATTCGGATGAGATGCCGAGATTTGAACATCACTTCCTTTGCGCGTTTTTTTTGCAACTTTGGCATTTCCTTTTGCTTCCTGTGCGTTTGAGCTCCCTGCACTTTCTTGAGCGCCGTGTAGTCGCATTCCTCCCCCCTGTAAGCACCCCAGCGCGAAGCCTTGTGCAAACTGCTCGACAGCTAAAACCACAGAAGCGCGCCAACACGCTAAACCCACATGCGCAGGTTGAAGCAGCATGCACGCGCTAGAACGGAAACAGGGCGGAAGTTGCCCCCAGGGCGCTTCTCAGTCATGTGCCTCTGCAACCATGGAGAAGAAGCAGGAGTCGCGACTGCAAACGCGCTCGAACGGGAGGAGGCGGCAAGTTGCCCACAGGGCGCTTCTCAGTCATATACCGCTTCAGCCGTGGAGAAAAGGCGATGGTCGCGCCAGCCAGGGAGTGCGCATGGTGTCAGAGCCGAAAAGGCCGCAGTTGCTTCCGTTGGAGGTTTCCCGACCTGTCACTTCATTTTCCTGCATTTGAAGTCTGTCCTCTGTTTCACTGCCCTTCAGTCGCTACTCGTCATCTACCGGAAAGTTGCCCGCAGGGTGCTTCCAAGTCGAAAAAGAAGTGGAAGGAGGGCGGGGGCCAGCCCGTCAGGCCCGCTCCTGCACTTCCAGTCCCTGCACGTCCTTGCCTTTCCTGTTACTTGAGCCCCCTCCTGTAGTGTACTTTGTTTTTTTGTTGCCATCAATCATCCACAATTGCCCATTCATCTTCCATCCACTTTCCACTAGTACCATCCCTTCCATACCTTATTATGCATCCATTCTCCAACAGTGTTCCACCCGCTTCCACAAGCTGCCAGCAGTGTCGCCCATGCATGTTGCAAGAGCAGTTTGGCAGTTGTAAGGGAAGCCGAGTGAAGCTAAGGGACGCCAGACAGCACAAGCAGATTGATCACCCCGCATCAGTTGACCGCGCGCTGCACAGCGTCGCGAGGCATTTCGCAAGCGCAGTTTGGCAGTTTTAAGGGAGGCCGAGTGAAGCCAAGGGAGCACCTGAAAATGTTCGTTGCACAAGCAGCAGCATGTTTCACATAGCAGCCACCAATAATGTTCATCGTGCTTGCAGCAACATGTTTCACGCGGCAGCTCTTGATGACGTTCGCCGCAGAAGCAGCAACATTTCTCGCGCAGCAGCTTTCAAAAACATTCGTCGCATCAGCAGCAACATGTGTCACACAGCAGCTTCTGAAAACGTTAGTCGCTCAAGCAGCAACATGCGTCACGCAACAGCCGCGTCGGACTAGCAGCAATCACACAACAGATTCGTCGCACTAGCTGCGATGGAACTTTTTTTCTCGCAAAGCCTTGCAGGCTATTGACAAGGGTCAAAAAAAGCAACAGTAGGAAGCAAGGTCCACTTCAGTAACAAGCCCTTGGCTTGGCGCCAGGTAGTTGGAAACCAGCTCTGCGGGCAAGCCAACCCTCGAACCGTTGCAGCCAAGCAAAGCGCCGCAAACACACCTGTCGGTGAGGGTTGTTTCAATAGTCTGGTTTCACCTGAACGTGGCGCGACTCTTTCACTGTAAGACACGAAAAAAAGAATATGAAAACACCTTGGGAATGTCACATGTTGCGCATTATTACTCACAAAGGCAGGGCCGACTTGCGGTGCTTCTCTCGCAGCAGTTGCAGCTCGCAGCTCAGACTTGTCCAAACTGTTAGACAGCTGGGGCCGCGCCCGAAACACGCCAACAGGCTTCAGCCACATGAGTCAAGCATCACGCACGGTCTAGCGCCGGAAGAAGGGGAAAGTTGCCCGCGGGGCGGACAAGGAGCTGCACACTAGTGACAGTTGCCCATGGGGCGCTGGTAAGTGATTTAGCAGTGCATGGCAAGTGGGGCTGGGCACAGAGCCGGGGGTGTAGTCGTGGCAGTTCCTGGAGATGGCTGGTGCCTCTTCCATGCGGTGGCAAGGTACGGGGCCAGGCCTGGAGAAGGTGCTAGGCCGCGCTGGTGTCTGCGTGCTGCAGCGGAGATCTACTTGCAGGCGCTAGAGTGGCTGTGGGCGGCGCTGGCTGGACCAGATGCCGCAGCAACTGAAGCAGCTTGCGTGCCAGAAACGGAGGCGGAGTTGGAGCGACACCGAGACTTCGTTCGACGGCGCGGTGGCGTGGAGGCACAGGTTCCAGACGCCAAGCTGGTGCTGTGGAGTAAGGTGCTGGCTGTGGTGGAGCAGCCTAACGGTCTGGACTCCTTCCATCACGGGACCAGCGCAGAATTGTGGGCGCTCACCCAGCAGTTCGACTTCGATGCTATAGTATGGAGCGGCGTCCCTGACGCGAACTACTGGGCACGAACTCAGACTCGTGTCACGGACGAAGAATGCCGGACGGCAGTGGCTCGGCTCCCGACCGTGCTGCAGCTGCTGCACCGAGAGATCGGCAACGTGGGGCCCTATGATCTGCTCGGGACCGATGCCGTGTCTCCGCAGCCGTTTGCGCGGACACCTTGGGTGAGGCGGTGGGCCGAAGGCGGCAGTGAAGCCATGTGGGAAGTGCTAGGCATGCTAAGGCGGCCCGAGCGCATCCATGCTCCAATTCCTGAAGCGGAGGCGGACGTCTGGTCCGAGCCAGAAACCAACAGTGACGTGGTCTTGTCAGACAAAAACTCTGACAAAATAGACATGGAAACCGATAGTGTGCCAAGGCCCGAGCGCATCCATGCTCCAATTCCTGAAGCGGAGGCGGACGTCTGGTCCGAGCCAGAAACCAACAGGGACGTGCCCTTGTCAGACAAAAACTCTGACAAAATAGAGATGGAAACCGATAGTGTGCAGTCGTGGGACTCGCAGGATGCCAGCGACGAAGCTGAAGAGCTTGGCCCGGTGGCGGTGGAAGCCAGCAAGACGTGGACCACCCTGGAAGACACAGACGTCCACCTTGCCGAGCAAGTGGCATCCCTGCTGCGGCCGACGCCGCTGCTGCCGCCGCCGCTCCCGGCCTGGAGTGCCAGCATGTCCGCGCCTGCCTCAGGAATAGTCTACCCCGCCGTGCATTGCGCGTTTGCAGGCTGCGCTTGGTGCAGCGAGATGCAGCCGTGTCAAGAGGCCTCGGGGCACGCTGGAGCGTGGGTGGTGCCAGACTTACACTGGACTCGCCTGAGTGGCACCTGCTGCGGCAAGGCGAACACGTCTCTGGGCGCACTTGGCCGCGTGCCACTGGGACAGCCTGTGTGCCGGCCAGCCAGGGCAGGAGTGGTGGCAGGCCAAGAGCCGGTACATGCGAGCCCTTGTTTGCCGAGAGGAGGCATCCGTGCCTGCAGTGGGCTGGAGTGTGGATCGGCGCACGCTACGCCGTCTCCGACAGGAGAGGCGCGAGGAGCACTGCGTGGCCTTGGTGTGCGCCTGTTGCGCGGCAGTGCAGCCTGGAGGTCCTAATGGCAACGTAGGATACGTGTCAGTGCGCGAGCTGTTCACAACCGTGTCAGCCGAGAGCTTTGCCGCGAACTGGAGCTTGACAGCGTACATTCGCAAGTACGGCGAGCACGCGGCCGTGAGAGATCGGCTTCCGGAGCAGGATTGGCAGCTGTCGCTGCCGCCCGATCTGTTTGAGGGGCAGCGAATTCTGCGCTGCCCAGAAGACCGCGTGTGTGCCGCGTGTCCAGCCACGCAAGAGCAACTGTGCGCTGAGTGCAAGCTGCCACTGTGCCGGACATGCTGGAGCCGGTTGCGGCAGAGCACGTGCCCGCAAGTCCCGCAAGCTCTTGCCAATGACAACTGGTACGGGTATCCTCTGAATTTCTTATATCAAGAAAAGGTGCGGTGGATTGAGGCCGCGGCAGCATGTCCTGTGTGGACGTCCGTGGTGAGTTTCTATATAGAGGAAGATCGCGGGCACCTGATGGAGGAGGAGCTGCATCGCAGCGACTTCCGCGTGGCCGTGCGAGGCAATGTTAGCTCCTTCAGCATGCCTTGGGAGGAGATCTACGGCAGTCTCCACCGCTTGGGGGCGGAGGCTGTGCTGCATCAGCTGCCGCACGCAGCCCCGGTGCTCAA